ATTGATTATAATCACTACATTGTCTATTATCTTTTTTTGTGCACTATTTTTTAATTAAATATCAAAGTTATAATACAAAATAATGCTATATATTTATTTACCAAGTATTTTTATTAATACCATGAAAAAAAATTAAAAATATATAATTAATAAAGCTAACATATTAACTACTTGATGGATTTGTTGACAAAGAGGGTATTCAAAACAAGCAACAAATTAAAGTGGGAAACTACCACGTAATGTCCTTGTTTGAAAATCAGCAGTTTGCGATTAGCGTTAGCGAATTTGACCAGCAAATATATCAACGGTTGGTAAAAAGATATTTGAAAAAATTAGTTGTTTAGATTAACATGTAAAATGACCTAAGGTATTGTTGGTCCCAAAAGAGGTAAGGTGAAAGTCTAGAGGGGGGGGGGGGGGGGGGGGTGAATAGACTTTCAAACTTTTTAGCACAATATAACAATTGGTAAGCCAGAGATAAACCAAAACTCTTAACTAAATTGTTAGAGTATGATGCACAGCGGAAATTAATAAATGATATGGTGTGTGTGTAGATCGTGTCAAGATTATTCTCGTGAGAAGCAAGCAAGAGCAGTAAGTAAAGAAAGCAGTAAAGAACACAAGGCAATTTATAGTGGTTCGCGAGGTGGTGTAATCCTCCTACTCCACTTGCTCTTTTCTCCAAGAGCCAATTCACTATATCCACTACTTCTTGGTTCCAAGATACAATGAATTCCGTGATCTAGTGCTTTGATCACCAAGCCCACACTAATCACGCCCAGTGACACCAACACTGCTGCTTCGGGTTTCACGTCGCTGCGTTACTTTCCCAGGATTTCACGACTCCGCGTTACTTTCCCCCCGTCTTCTACGATCCGGTAGAAACGTATCTTCCGTGATCTAGTGCTTTGATCACAAAGCCCGCACTAATCACGCCCAATGTCCTCCGACACTGCTGCTTCGAATCTCACAACTCTGTGTGACAATCCAGGATTTCACAACTCCGTGTTACTTTCCTCCTTTCCCTTGTTTTGCTCAAAAACAAGTTTTGCCTTGATTCCAACTTTGAGACTCTGTAGATGATCTTCAATGGTGCGCTGAGTCTCTTGAAGTTGATGAAGATTTTAACACTCTTGGATATTTCTTTTCTAAGCTCTGTATCACTCTGAGTGTTTATCTCACAAAGAATATATCAATTTAAGCTCTTGAGATGGAAAGCTTTCTTTGAATTTTGTATGCTCTGTTTAGCTCTGTTCTTTTCGCTTCTTGCTTATTTGCTTCTTTTACCCCTGCTTTCCAAAGCTTCAATCTTCATCTATTTATAGCTGGTAGTGAGAATATTTCCGTTGGAGAGAAACGTTCTCATTTTTGAATTTCATCCAGCTGTATAGCCTTTTGTCAGAAGATAAGATAACGTTGCAGATATGTCAGAGATTTCAAGTTGAGCTTGAGGTTTTAGCAAAAATGGCGTCCCATGAATCTCCATATGGTGTAGATCACGCCTCTTGGGATTTTTATCTTCAAAATATAATCTCCAATATAATCCCTTACTAGTTAGACTAGTATTTTTGCTTGCTTCTGCAACTTTTCCTCTGTACTTCGCGTGTCTGGGTCTGTAGACTGCTTCCAGACTTCATCTCTTCAATTGACTTGGGAAGAGGGGTCTGTAGACTGCTTCCAGACTTCATCTCTTCAATTGACTTGGGAAATCTCTTCCCTTGTGAAACTTCATCCCTTGCTATTTTGGGAAGACTTGGGAAATCTCTTCCCTTGTGAAACTTCATCCCTTGCTATTTTGGGAAGACTTGGGAAATCTCTTCCCTTGTGAAACTTCATCCCTTGCTATTTTGGGAAGACTTGGGAAATCTCTTCCCTATCCCTTGCTATTTTGGGAAGACTTGGGAAATCTCTTCCCTTGTGAAACTTCATCCCTTGCTATTTTGGGAAGACTTGGGAAATCTCTTCCCTTGTGAAACTTCATCCCTTGCTATTTTGGGAAATAAAATCTCTATCCCTTGCTAGATTTGTCAATTGAAATCTCATCCCTTGATATCAATTTGAACTTCGATTTCGAACTTCAACCCTTTAGATGAAATTGCATCCCTATGTCAATTTTCGGGATACCAATTTGAGAACTTGCATCCCTATGTCAATTTTCGGGATACCAATTTGAGGCCAAACCATCGCCTCTTACTTTAACTGATGGAATTAAACTTGGCTTCTTTAAAATATGTAGGATGTGAGATTCAAACCTGTGACCTTGCACATAATATTTCAAGCTTCTACCATCTCATCCGTACAACCTTTTAGTCATCTTCTTGTTTCACTTGGTGTACTCCTTTCTTTCCATAGATGCTTGATCTTCAAGATAGCTTCATGCAAACATCAAGTCACGTTCTTTCTTCTTCGGGATTTCTTGAGGGATTTTCGCATACATCTTCCTCTTTTGTTTGCCATTTTCTCTAGGCAAATTCTTGATTTTAGGCTTTATATCTTCTTCATCCATTTCCTCAACTAATGAATTTATTTTTCCCTTTCTTGGTCTATGACTCGACTAGTCTAATAAAAATAAAATTGGGGATCTACGAATTACAATATGGCTTATCAAAATCTATTACAATTTATTTCTAACAGGTATACATAATAATAATAATAATAATAATAATAATAATAATAATAATAATAATAATAATAATAATAATAATAATTGTTCTTAATATAATAATAATAAATTAATAAAAGAAATAAAATTTTTTAAAAAAATTAAAACATATGGTTGCCCTTAGTTTTGTAACTTTTTCCACATCGGTGGAAAAAGTGACATGGGAGCCCTGACGCTCCTATAAAAGGAGCGTTAAGGCTCTAATTTAAAAATTAAGCTTGTCCATCCGTTGATGGGCAAGCAGTGAGCCAACGAAATTGACTCTTGTTATTCAAGGAGTCGAAATGGCTCTACAGTAATTTTTTTTTATTTATATAAATATAGATATAGAGGTGTTTTGGAGAAATCATTCTCAAAAACGCTAAGTGAAAATATTGTGAATTGCAATGTTTGTATTTTTAGTGGTTTGGAACAATTTGTTGCTTCAAATTGGTGAATAACCAAACACTTTCTTTAACATTTTGATCTTTGGGTTACATCATATTACCAATCGTCCAATATCTTTGTGTTACATTATAATTAAAATTTTTAACTTTTTACTACATCTAAATTTCTTAAGTTGGAAATTTCTTTATCCATAATAATTTATTCAACAATAATGGTTGAACTAAATGAACACTGAGCACCAGGACTATGTGGTCCAATTGTACCCGGGTTGGATTTCCATTTAGAAGGTTGTGAGTTTGAGCCTCAGTGGAGGTGTTATTGGTTCTTTGTGTTCAGTAGCATTCATTGATCTTATATATATGTGCATTCATTAAATATATATTAAAACGCTTTGCAACAAAAATACTTGGTTACTATTTAAAAAAAGTTTAGTAACAATTATAATGAATCTCCTATATTGCATTGAGTTACATATTTAAATAAACAAATTTGACAATAAATTAGTTATGTATGAACTTCTTATATATAATCTTGCATTGATATACTTTCAAATATTTATTTAATTATAAACATTGGACATTAACTCATTCGCGCAATGGGCGTGTAAAACTAGTGTTTACAATAAAGATTGATGGCATGATTAAACCTTCCTTACAGTAAGACATAGAAACAACTTCCATAACAATGCTATAGAAAACTTAATTCGCAGACTGTTTCACAAAATTTGAAGCCGAATTCTTTGGAGGAACTTAAAGTTTCTTTAATTATTTGGTTAAACGTACCCAAGACTGACTCTAATTGAATAGTCTTGCAAACCACCTGAGTATCCACTTCCATTCTTCTATCCATTGACAATATCTTCATCGGGCTGAACTGCGTATCATAGTTTAGAGGAGTCTCTTTTTCATTGTCATGTTTGTCACCCAGGATGAGATTTACATACGCCATGACCATTTTTATCGTTTCATGCTTTATGAAAAAGAACTCGCCAAGTAAACAAGAGGAAGAAACTCGTCAAAATAACGAGAGGAAAAACAAAGAAACTGTAAACAAAATTAAACCAGTAAAACAAAGCAAAGGGAAATAACAATGCAAAAATAAGGGAGTAACGACCGGTAGCAGTGGAGATGGAGGTGTGGGGCCAGGCGTAACCAGTGGTGAAGGAAGAGAATGAAAGAGAAGACGGTGAAGGCAGAGAAGACAATGAAGGCGAATGCTGTCTACGGCGGAGATGACGACAGGGGAAGACGATTGGACGCCGCTTCCGCTTGCTCCACGGAGGCGGCGACCGTGTGAAAATTAGAGCGAAAGTCAGGTAATAGAAACGGTTACCAAACAAATAAATAGGCCCATTAATAGAAATGTTATGCCATTCCCGGCCTATTGCGTGAACCAAACGGGCCATAAAGCTTGATTTAATTTGTCGGGGGTTCAAACTTACTTATGACAAATTTTATACTAGTAAACATATTGGTTCTCTAATTTTCAAATTTTAAAGAAAATTGGAGAAATTTTCAAGTAAACGGGCCCAAATCTCCCAATTACATACTCACAACTACTTTATAAAGATGAGTTAATGAGTTAATTTCACTTTTGATCCTATAGTTATTGGAGTGTTGTCAATTTCAGTCCACAACTTTCAAAATTAATAATTAAATAACTTAACTATTCAATTTTTTTTTATCAATTTTAATCACGACCAAATTATCTGTCAATTTTGCCAATTTTTATCCACATCCCACCTGCCCTCTGTATTAATTCAAACAATGGTTCACAAATTAGCTAGCTTCCATTTTAACACTAAATTAAAAAATTTCGACGATAATTGACCGATAATTTGATTAAATTGACTAAAATTAATATGCTAAATTATTAATTTTAAAAATTGTGAACTCAAATTGAGGACATTCCAATAATTATAAAACTAAAAAGTGTAATTAACTCCTATAGAGATTTATTTTCCCTCTAAGATAAGAAATCGCCACTTCCCTAGAGCTTTTCTCTCTCGATCAAACTAAAAACCCTATCTAAATTCTAAAGATTTAATTCAAACCTCCTCTTTTCTGCCTCTGCAGGATTCGTTGATTGAGACAGCGTGTGTTGATCTATATCTTCTGCAAATCAAGTAATTTCATCCTTTGCCTCCGTCAATTTCATTTCCTGTTTATTTTACAAGTTTAATATCTTGCTTCAAAAAAGGTCATGTCAAGATGGAACTTTTGATCTCTCTTCTTCTGTTCGGAACATCGTAATTTCGTGTGGCTAATAGCGTAATACGTAGTTTATCTATAAATATTTTCCTGCTCACTGTCCCTGTTTGAGAAATTATCTATGATTAAATTTTTTTTCCTTGCATTTTATTGATGTAATTTAATTTTCCTTAATGGCAATTTGAGGTAAATTTGTATTGTCGTTGCTTTAAAATTGGATAGGATCAGAAGGGGCAATAAATTTTACTTGTAACATTTTATTGATGTGACTTAAAATTTCTTTATAGCAGTTTGAGGTAAATTTGTATTATAATTGCTTTCTAATTGGATAGGATTAGAAGTAATTAAACATATTTGGATGTTCATGGGCTGCCCGCATTAACTTATTTTATCTGTTTCATTAATATAATGGTTTAGTTATTTAATTCTATTGAAATTTGGATGATAATGTATTAATCAGTCCTAATATTATTATTATGTTTTTGTGTAAAGTTTTACTCTTTGATTTTATTTTTTAATTTTAATTTTAATTTAATTTATTTTGTGTGGATTTTGACTAACTGGGAAATTTAAAAGTTAATTTACATCCCAGAACTAATTCATAGAAGGAACATTTCAGTGTGTGGGAAGAAAATGTTGTTACAAGTTTCTTTACTTCATTTTCAAAGCAGTTGATAAATATGTGTATGTGTTTTAAATTGAACAGGTATCATGGCTCTTGCTCAGAATTACCAAACACAAACTGGCCCTTTTCGCAGTTATGGTAGAAACCATCTAACTAGCCACAGTTATACTCCTGCTGCAACCAATTCCTCCAACTACAGTCAGTACCTCGATAGCAGTTTTAGGCATCTAGGAAACCAAGATATCTCAAATGACTTACTTAAAGATTTTAGGGAGTATAACTACAATTATGATAGCTATGTGAAGCCTGAGGTTGAACCTTCTTCAAAGCGAAGAAAGTTTTCATCTTCTTCATGGGGAAATAATGGGTGGTACAGTCAGCAAACGAATGCTTGTACTATGCTTCCACCAGGACAACAAAGTACACATAATAATGCGCTCCCCAGGAATCAGAGTGTGTTTGATAACATCAGCTCAGGCCAGAATAATAATTCAGCCATTACTACAACTGTTAATACTAGTAATGTGCCTTATTCCAATGGGTATACTTCTGCTTCCTTCAAGTGTAATCAGTCAGAGTTTGAAGGTGACAACAATGATGTGGCCTTTATGTCTAGAGAGGAAATTGAGAGATGCTCACCATCTAGGAAAGATGGTATTGATGTGGTGCTTGAAATGCATTTGCGATATTCATATTGCGCTTTTCTTCAGAGCCTTGGAATTCGGTTGGAGCTGTAAGCCTCTAATTCATATTTGAGCTGTTGTTTGCATGTGTGCTGCATAATGTGTAGTTGGGATGTGCTTACCTATTACCTCTGGTGTTCATCTAGTCACCACTGTGTCTAGTACATTTTTTGTCATAAGTTTTATGATATTGAAACAATTGTTATCATGCAAAAACTAATGATGGTTTTCCTTGCTTTCAGGCCACAAACAACCATTGGGACTGCCATGGTTTTGTGCCACCGTTTCTTTGTTCGTAGGTCTCATGCTTGTCATGATAGATTTGTAAGTTTCCTTGACACTAAAATTTTATCTTTTGGAATGTCTGTTCTATCTATACATTGCCATACAGAAGCTCATTATTGTTTATCTGATTTGATTGCAGTTGATTGCTACTGCTGCTCTCTTCCTAGCTGCAAAGTCAGAAGAGACACCATGCCTTCTCAACAATATTCTAAGAGCATCATGTGAAATTTTCCACAAGCAGGACTTTTCTTATTTGTCATATCTGCTTCCTGCTGTTAGTATCCATGCTATCTCTGTGTCTCAACATATGTCACGTTATTATTTGTACTCTTAACATGTGCTTACATTTTAATTGCCATTATACATTTATACAGGAGTGGTTTGAGCAATACCGAGAACGGATTATTGAGGCTGAGCAAATGATATTGACAACTTTAAATTTTGAACTCAATGTGCTGCATCCATATGCTCCTCTTACATCTACTCTTGAGAAATTAGGCTTTTCTCAATCGGTTTTGGTGAATATGGCATTAAACTTGATCAGTGAAGGGTAAGATGTATTCATCATATCTGCATTTTAATTGCTGTGAATTTAATCTTTGTTTTCAGATGTCTTGCATAATTATGGGATGAATAGATTGGAATATTGGTGAAATACTTATCTCACTTTTTCCTATCGCTATCAGTCTGTCAGTATGTGATGTCTATGATCTGAATAATATGCTGATTGGTTGGGCTTGCAAGTAATGGTTTGAGGAGGATGCATTTTATTTTTGCTTATGCTTTTCCTTCCTGGATCTATAATTGATGTGGTTTTTTTGCTAATTCTTTCTTTCTCATCTCTTTAGTTGGTAATTATTCTATGCAGTCATTCTGTAATGTGATATTGACATATTTGGATTGGCATAAATTGCAGGATTTATAGAAGGATTATCATGCTCTCACACTGTATGCTATTGTTAGCCGGAGGTTGATTCACCAAATGTTTTGTTTTTCGTCTGAAGTTAACTAGCCTTTTCCTGTGGATGATTTTTCAGTGATGACAACTTAGTATCATGTCATTGGCCCAATAGAAGATAGTCAGATGCTCCCGAAGCAATTTTTGCTATGGCACTTTCTGTTTTTTCACTTTAGATGGATGAATCCATGCTGAAACTATATACCTATTTGTTTGGTGTCCATATAGGCCATTAAACCTGAAAAAAGGTGTTTGGTGAGTATTTTGCTTGAAAATTTTGGGGCACCTTTAGTGGGCAGCCTTGTCCTGGACTCCAGGGTATGGTTAGATGGGATTATATTCTTAATATATCTTCTGGGCCATATCTTTTCTCTCAAGTCTCAACTTTACATGTTGCCCACTTGTCCATAAGCGGCATGAAACAACTTTACATCCTGTGTTTTTTAAATTTATTTTTATTTTATTTTACATTTTTTGAGGTGGGGGTGTACCAAAACGCACAATTTTATACCCAGTTTTCTGTCAACAATCAGCTCCCATCCTTTTGTTTTTATTTTATATTTGGAGAGATGTTGGGAGGATATGGCAGAAGGTTGGAAGTGAAAATGTTAATTTAGTTTGTTTTTGAGATTTGAGGTGATCTTTGGAACGATAGTGATTCTTCAAGATGTAATTCATTGATGCTGCATTTTATTTTTGAAGATCATGATTTGTTTACTTGATGTCTGGTTCTTCTAACAAGTGTGAATACAACAAGGCTAAGGAATTCATTAAAAATTTATTGGTGATGAATGATGAGTTGATGCTTTCCTTTTCCTGAAATGCTATCAGATCATAAATTGGGCCTTCTCTCCTGTCCTACTCTAACATTCTTAGTCCACAATCAGTTGCCATTGTTTCTTGTTGGGCAGTTCTCCAATTCCTTGGTTATTTCAAATTCTTAGTCTTCTGTCTCACCAAAAACAATGCAAGGCTTCCCTTGTTCTTCTTACCCTCTTTACTTCTGGAATGTATAAATCCTCCACCACCTGCTCAATGGATTTAAAGAAACAGAAAACACAGAGTCCTCTTTATATGATTGTTAAGATTGTCTACTGTCTACGTCCTAGCAAATTTGGGAGACAATACATCTTGCAATGTATCTGTTTTGATGTCAAAAAGCAGATTTGCAATATGGTTTAAACTCATAACTCACAATCCATTGAGGATTCATATTCTGGCTCAGCCGCTCAGGTGTAGGTGTACTGGCTGTCTGGCAGGCTTTTGATACTCTGGATGCTTGAGAATGCTCGACTGTAAATAGTCATCTTTTTTCTGGGTCATGATAAGTTATGTGATTGCCAAATTTTGATCAACTATTACAGTGTGGCTTTGGCCTTTGGCCTTTGGGTGGGAATATGCTCCTAGTTCAATAGGCTTGTGACTGGCCTCCTGTGTCTTAGATGAATTAGGATTCGTCAAGCAAGTATTTTTCAGAGGTGTAGAGTATATTGTAATTGGCAGGTTTTTTTTTACTTTGCACTGTAGTCTGCATTGTAAACTTTGGTTATATGAGCAGTACTCCAAATATTCGTGTACATTTGAATGAAGGTATTGCAAGTTGGGATGTTCTCGGGCTGGTCAATGTACCCTCTTTGCTTCTATTCTTGAAATGTGTATATCTGTGGTTGATATACTGCTGCAATGGAGTGGAAACTCAAGAGTTGATGCTCTCTCTCTCTCTCTCTCTCTCTCTCTTCATGTTTATAACATGTTTGCTAGATTTTTGGTACTATACCTACATTCTACAGAAGATTCTTGGGTTTATCCAACTCGGTTGCCTCATTTTTAGTTGGTAAGGGAAATTGTTTTGGTTTGATTGTTAGTTTTCTTACTTGACACTAATGTTGTTTATTGATTTGATCATTCACATTTTTGTATTTTTCTTATGTGAACAAATATTTATTTACCAAATAATGCTCTGAACATTATGGTTCTTTATTGTTATTGAATGTGGCAGACATGAACTCAAATGCAAGTGCCCTACTGTTTCTCCAAATGTTAGGCTTTACATCTTATATCTTGGTAACAATATTATGGTTATGTTGCTCTCTGTGCCTAAAACATTCCTTTTTGCAGGCTCCGAAGCTCATTGTGGCTTCAATTCAAGCCTAATCAGATTGCAGCTGGTGCAGCATACCTTGCTGCAAAACTTTTAAACATGAATTTGGCTTCAAATAATATCATTTGGCAGGAGTTCCAAACACCACCAAATGTGCTTAGAGGTATGCATCTGCCTCTGCATGGTAGTTGATAATCTGTTAGTTTATTAAAAGCTATTTTCATTAGATAATTGAGATTATGAATTAAGCAATCCACATTTTTCATGTTTGATAAGGAATATGGATTGTTCAAATCATTTTTTAAATTATGGGAGTATATTATTACGGATTATTTACAATGATTATAATTAGAACTGTCATATACCATGGTTTTTAAGCAGAAAATCAGAAATGAACTTTACATTTATATGTCCTTTAGATGGCACCTGTGGTGATAATTAGGATTAACCTTCTAATTACATCGTTCTTTGATACTCTGAAAGATGCTACAACATTCATCATTATAATTTTTGAGAGCATCTCCAAAGAGGGGTGGGGGGGATTAGGAGGAGAAAGAAAGGAGATAAAGAAGATTAAGGGATGGAGGGGAGAGAGCTTCTTTCTCCGTTCTCCGGAGAGAACTCTCTCCAGAGAAAGAAGTGGAGAGTGTGAATGAGCGTGCAGGCACGCATGAATAGCATGCATGTGTGCCTGCACGTTTGTATTTATTTATTTTTAAACTTTTTTTTAAATTCATTTTTTTTTTTTTTGGTTTAATACAAACATGTTTTTGTTTTTATTTTATTTTTATTTTTATTTTTATTTTTATTTATTTATTTATTTTTTGAATTATCCATGTATCCACATTAGTCCCTCAATTATTTCAAAAGTGGCGATTTTCCCCCTTTTCTGTTAAATGGACATTTTTACCTTTAAAAATAAATATTTCATTTATTTTTCTTTTCCAACAAATTATTGCTTATATTGAAAATCAAAATATATGCGAAAAAGAACAAACACCATTTACAAATATTATGATTATAATTTTAAGCTAATGCTAGTAACAAAGTTAAAGACTTAAACACAAATAATTCATTAATGCTAATTAATTATAATTATAATATAGTTCATAGGGAAAAAAAGTGTCATTTCCCCTTATTTTATTTATTATGTATTTGAAACTTAATATTTTAAATTCAATATTTGATTTTTTTTTTTTTAATTCAAAATGTAATTTACTTATTTCAATTTATAATTATAAAGTTGAAATTATTAATTATAGGAAAGTGAATCAAATAATAGATGATATGTAAGAGTGTAGCCTGTAGGATCCACAAAAAGATGAGAAAAAGGAAGAAGGATTGGAGAGAAAAATAAAGGAGGAGATTATATATATGGTAATATGAAGGAATTGAGCCCACAAAATAGGGAGATAAGGGGAGAAGGGATGGAGATACCTTAAGCGAAACATGAGGTTTATCATTGATGTTAGTAGCCTTTGGGTGAGGCCTGGTGTACATAGGATCTCAAACCATTTTGTTTGGCTATATATATAATGTAAATCATTCTTCACTTTGAACATCGTAATTATGCTGGCTTCTAAATAGTGTGTTTATACTTATTATCATGTTTTTGGGCGTTTAGATGTTGCTCGACAATTGATGGAGCTCTTGTAGAAGAAAGAAGACAGTGAAATCCAGATAGCAAGAAACGAGGGCCTGGTTTCTGTTACACCCAATACTGGTTTTTATTTGTTCCAACAAGTAGATTAGTAGTAGCCTTGTTCGGGTATGATTTGGTATAAATCATCCCGTACTTAAGGTTTTAGCTGTACATAGTTTTGCCTAATTTTGAGGTTGTTAGAAAGAATGGAGATAAATGAAATTTCTTTAATTCTTGTGTTTGTAGCATGTAAGATGCATATCAATGCTTGTGCTGACGCAGGTACTAACCACATGCCATAGCATTTAATGTTTTGAAAATTATATATTCTTTATTTTTTAAAAAATAAATATCGTTTTCTCAAAAAAAAAATGTTAAAAATATTTCGAAATCTTTCAAATGGCAATTATATTGATATATTTTTTTAGTATTTTATTTTAACTTTTAGTGAATTAAAGTATATTTATGCTAAATTTAATAAGTGGCTTTTGATTTCTTTATTTTATGTTACAAGTTTAGAGGAGATGAATCTCCTTCATTGCCTTCCTTGTAAATAGCCATCTTAAAAGAGGGTAGATATTTGAGATTAGACTTAATGGAAAAATGTTAAAAGACATGACATGGATATTTGGAATTTGATATGGGGCAAAACATATATATAACTAAGGGTGTGTTTGGTTCGCACATAGGAATTGAAATCGGAATGAGTATCAAATACTTGGTAATGGTAATGAGTTTTGGTGAAAGTATTTAACATGTTTGGTAGTAGGGTGGAATGAGAATGTTTACTAATAGTAGTGCTTGAGAGTGAATAAGGGAATGAAATCCTTATTTTATTTGGATATGGGTTTTTCAATTGATGAGAAATCCATAGTAGTGTTTTAAAAATTTATCAACCAAACAACAACAATCACTTTCATACCCATTCCTATGGGCAAAACGGTAAAACCCACCAACCAAACACACCCTAAATGGAGATATTAGAGGCTTACACATGCCTATCAAAAAAGTAGAATTTAAGGTGGGAAAAGGAGTTTTTAAAGTAGAATTTAAGGTGGGAAAAGGAGTTTTGATTACAATTCACTGTATGGATGTTTTTAGCATTAAATGAAGATATAAAAATTGGGACATACTTGAGTATAGAGCATCCATAATAGTCAAAATTGTTTATGGTTTTTCAAGTGCCACATAAGAGTGAGAAGAGGGAGGAAAAAAAGGAAAAAAAATGGAATCTGACGCGCGTGTGGGGTGCGAAGTGCGCTCCACTCGCGCACTTCTGACTTTTTTTTTTTTTTTTTTCTTTTAAATTTTTATTTTAAATCTCATGTAAACACTTTGTGAAGGTGGAAATTTTTTTAAAAAACTAACATTCACATCAACCAAAAATCAAATGCTAGTTTTTTACTTCAGCAATCTGAGAAAAAACTACAAGTGTGATTGCTCTAACTGTTAGACTCTCTTACATCTTCTCATGTCTTGGAAAAAGTGCTACTTTAACTTTCTTTTCAAATTCTTTTCTACTCAACCATCATATATATTCAAAACCCTAACCCTACTTCTTAATAAGTAGAAAATAGGGGAGACGCTCGAGAGATTATTGAATGTTAGGAGGCAAGCCACTTCTAGAATTCAAGGAGGAAAAATAAGAGCAATTGTGAATGGGGCTGAGGTGGTTGTTATGGAGGTAGACATGGAAAGCGTTGGTCTAGACATGGAAAGAGATGTCAACGCAAACATCACTTTAATTAGTAGACAACATAACATTATGGAAGAAACATATGCTAAAGATGGACTATCAGAAGTTTATGGACATCATCTCAAAAGTGATTAGAGGGGGAGGGGTGTAACACCCCCCCTCCCCAAACAAGACCTATATAAAAGCCTTAACACATGCAGATTAAACAACAAAACTAGCACAGCGGAAGATAAAAACGAAAACTGGATAAAAGAAATCTGAACGGGGTGTTACGCCACGTCTACCAAACACGGTAAACGCTACGGCAAACAATCTGCAAGTGTATACATCTATCCTAAAAACATCAGTCTAAAACTACATGGGCACACAGGCCACAAAACAAGGATGAGGGTACTAAGCTACCAGGCACTAGACATCGCGCTCGTCTAAACATCACCTGAAAGATACAAAGATAAACATTGGGACGACGCCTGGTCAGCGATAAATGCTGGTAATTCACCAATACATGTGAAATATCATACATAGATAGATATAAGATGTAAAACCATTTTCGAAACGGAATATATATATATATATATATATATATATATATATATATATATATATATATATATATATATATATATATATATTTATATAAGTCAAAACCAAGATCAACAGTCAACACAAGACTTATCACTCTCAAAGATAACACGGGAACACATCCCAAACCACAAAGGCTAACCATAACGCGAAGGATAAAGACTCATCCAACGGCAACACATGCCAAAGCAACACATGCCTCCGTGACTACACACGTCACGAGAGAAGAACACACAACGCCGGCTTTACAAGCCCTCGCAACATCACCCATCACGAGTTGGTATGCCTTCCATATGCCCTGTTCCAAATTTATGGCTACCCCCAACCTTATATCTTCTTCCAACCATTACCTCCAGGACCCCTGTACTTCTTAGTCCAACCTTATTCCCCCGGGACCGTCGTCCCCCACCAACGACCACCAACGAGATCACTAATTCATAGTACACAAGGTACCGTACACGGTAACACATGCCCGAATAACACATGTTATCCCCCAATCACGTGAACCTTACACAAAGGCCACAACTCCATAATCACGTCACGGCCACCACGAGGACCGCTGCAATACCTTGGTGACTAGCGTCCCATACCACTAATCGTGCAATCCAGGTAAAGCCACACACGCACCACAACTCAACAAGAGTCAAACAACGGATCACAACGAAGGTATGAAACATACTCAATCAAGGAACGGGTCACAACCCAATAACACCAACGATGAATAACACAAGTTATCATCAACCAAACGGAAGGTACAAACCACACACACGCTAGCATTAAGACAATAAACTAGCATGCTTAACAACGGAGAAACTCAAGATAGTTCCGAGGAACACACAAGACACCTCTTGGTCCAACGAAACACAATGTTGAACACTTAGCACGATTCAAGACACCAAAGTCCTACATGGATACCTACCATATAGTTCTAGACATACGAAACATCAAGAAGACACTCAAATAGTTCCGCAAAAGAACAACGGGAAGCCAAAAGACTAAATACCGAGTCAAACGGATCACGGGGAACAAATCCCGGACAACTCCACTCGTGTACCCGCGGGTGGACCCACGGGTAGTGCCCCACCCGTGGTTCCGCCCGCGGGAACACATTCCCACAGGGCATTGTACCCGCGGGTAGGCCGGCGGGTGGTGCCCCGCCCGCCGTTCCGCCCGCGGGAACATTCCTGTTCCACAACAAATCCCTTCGGGGATTTTCTTCTCCAAACACAAATTCAAGTCCAAAACATGCCAAATCTCACCCAACACAACAAAATGACTTGAATCATGGAAAATGCCAAGCAATGGCACAAAGGAACCCTAAACACAAGCTCTAGATATGCAATATCAATAGACAAATGCATAAACCCTCACATTTCATAGCAAAACACATGTAGAATCCAAGAAATCACATATAGGTAAGCAAAATAGGTTTTGTAGAGCATGGGTTACCTCTTGAAGACCAAAAGACTTCACTTTACACCACAACAAGCTCTCCACAAGGCTTACTTTCCAAACCCACTTCAAGATCAAACCAAAAGATCATAAAGATCCTACCTTTAAGAAAAAGACAACTAAGATGGAACCAAAAACACAAGATGAACTTAGATCTTACCCTCCTAGATGCCCAAATAGGTGAAAGGTTGAATCTTGGAAGCAAATCTTGGAATCTTGACAAGGGTCTCAACTTGGCTTCGAGAATAAGTTACACCTCTTTTCTAGAGAGAAGGTAGAGCTAATTTCTAGGAAATGTATGGAATGAAATGAAGAAGTCTTCTAGGTTAGGTTACAATACTAACTCTTGGTGAAAAGTCAAGAATACCCTTACTAACCCTTAGGAAGTGTAAGGAACAAGGGAACTCCCTTCAAAGCTCAAGGTACAACACAACTTTAAGGTTGACTAGTCAAATACTAGTCCTTGAGTATTAAAAATCAGGATTTTAGGAATTAATTCCTCAAATAAAATAGGATTAATTACTCAATTAATCCATGGATTGAATGTGGATTTTTGGGGTGTCACATCCTCTCCCCCTTCAAAGAAGCTTCGTCCCCGAAGCTTGGGTACGACGAATTAAAAGCAAACGGTGAAAGGAAACGACATTGTGACAAGAAGTTCAAGAATAACTCTTTTGTTCAAAAACTCCAAAAGAACTCACAAGGATTCCAAAGCAAAGAAGTATTCCAAAGCAAGAAAGAAGGCATTTCAAATTCAAAGATTGGCAAGAGGTTAACAAACAGATAGATTGAGCATCAAGAACTCTAGCCTCATCAAAACCACCAACTTCTAGACAACAACCAAGAACTAAACTTCTAACTCCAAACACCAACTATCAAGCTAGCTAAACAACAAGGCACAAACAAAAGCAAGCAAGCACACAAAGCAAACAACAACCTATCACCAAGCTAACAACGGCTAAGAGGGAAACAACAAGGAAAAAGGCAAACGGGATTACCGCAACACAAGCTAAAACTCCTCACTCTCCGACTCCTTGGCCTCTTCAGACTCCTCTTCGTCTTCGTCTCTGCGGCTAGAACTGGCTTCAATCTGGTCCAGCCTCTGATGCACTGCGACGAACTGCGCCTTCATAAACGCAAAGTCTTCGGCGATCATGCTGTTCTGCTGACGAAGCAAGGTGGCAACGCGCTCCTCATGCGCCAAGACGTCATGCTCCCTCTTCGTGCGAGCTTCCTTCCTTCTCTGGCTGTCCTCATTGTCCGAATCACTTTCTTCAGCTTCGGCGGCCTCCGGTGCTCCTACTTCCTCCTCTTGGTCTGCTTCCTCCTCAGCTTCTTCGTCACCGCCCAAACTCTGGACTGCGAGGCTCAACTTCCCGGCATGGATTCCAAGCTCAGCAGCTAGCTCCGCCCGCTCATCAGGTGCTTTCCTTGCAACCTCTTCAAGCGTGATGTACTCACCATCATCCAACCGAAACAGCTTATAACTCCGGAGATTGGTGGTATCCAACACCATCTTTCCCACGGCCTTCGGGAGGCAACCGTCCACACTAACACCTTTCTTAACCAAGATCTAACTCAGCACCATCCCATATGGCAAGCTCTTCCGATTGTGATCCCGGCAAAACACCATGTGTTGCATCATCAAAGCAGGCAGGTTGAACTTAACCATGTTCTTGAGGCAAAAGGCAAAGGTGCACTCCAACTTACCCAACAAACTGCTCTTGTTGTTATTAGGCAACAAACAATCCGACACCAACATAACCAAAATCCTTTGCTCCGCAGACAACCACTTCTTCTCTGGCCTAGAGGCTTGAGTGAAACCACTCGTACGGCCCAACAGATAGCTCAAATAGTCACGGTACCCCATGGTATCGGTACTAATCCAAGAATGACCACTGTACTGAGCCACTCCGGTAGCAGACAAACTCAACAACTGAGCCAACCTCTTTTCAGATAACACAACCTTCACACCTCTCACCTTAGAGGTGATCTCCAACTTATCACCCTCCTTTGTCACAACCATGTGACGATAAAACTCTTTCACCAAACTCGGGTAAGTCTCGGCCCTTATGGCGAGAAATCCATCCAAAAAACCTTGATACCTAAGCATATCCAACAAAGAGCTAGGAAAAGATTCCGAATCAAAAGCTTTACCTTCAAGGACGAGGTAATGGGTATCCACCCATTCCGCTTTTCTTGCCAAACTTGACCTTCTAGGCATGATTGAAGATGATCCAGAGCTCAACAAAAAGGACCCAAGGCTTCTCCTCTTTCTCTTCTCTCTCTCTCTCTCTCGCTCGGCTTCTCACTCTCGGCGGCACAGCTCCGGCGGCGGCGACACGACGGCTTCCGGCGAACAGCGACGGCGAACGGCGGCGAAGGGCGGTGGCTCGACGACGGGTAGGTGGGGGTGGTGGGTTGCAGGTGAAGCTACGGGGGGTGGCGTGCTCGGCTACACACGGGTGGGAAAGAAGAAGAGGGAAGAAGGTTTGAGAAATTTAGGGATTTGGGAGAAATTGGGGAAAAGATGATTTAATTTGGGGATTTTGGGTAAGGTGGGAATTTGTGGTTTAAATGGAATTAAAATTGGTTAAGTTTCAAAAAAGACAATTGGCTTAAGTGGTTTAGAGGTTAGGTTGACAAAGATTAGGCTCGGGTTTAAAACTCAAAGGTTACGATTAAGTATTAGGCTTGGCTTTTAAGCTACACAAGGGAAGATTTTTGGTATGAATTTTGCTATTTCCCAATTCAAAGAATACTTGAAAAATTTAGGAAGCTCATAAGGAATTGTTGTAAGAACAACCAAGCATAAAGATTGTAGAATTGACCCAAAATCACAAAACAGGACAAGAATGGATTGCTAATTTCTCAACGAAGCTTATATACCAACTAAAGGAATCACTTAGCAAGAAGAGTCTACACTAAGCCTCAAAAGAATTGCTATCAAAGAAAGGCATACCAAAGATTGCCAAGCAAAAGACAACTACGAAACACAAGGTAACACTCATGACACAACGAACAAGATGATTTTGGAAAAGAAACAAGGATAGGCTAGAAGAAGGGGTTACCTGCCACTTCATCCTCCATCAAGCCCTCCGACTCAGCCTGAGAACGCGCCATCACAAAAACTCTTCCAGGTGGCCTAGCTCCAATAGCTCCGTGATCTGAACCCCCTCCCGGTGCTCCTCCGGCTCTCGGGGGTGGCGGCAACGCTCTCTGACCGGCAAGCTGGGGACACTCCGCGACTTTGTGACCACGATCCCCGCATCGGAAACATCTAAACGCCTGGCCAAAACAATCTTGGCCTGCGTGCACCTTCCCACATCTTCGACAAACAACCGACTTAGCTTGATCCCTATGCTCCACTCTGATAGGTCCTTGAGAAGAAGACGACACGGCCTTGACTTGAAAACTTGATCGGGGCTTCTTGAAGGTGGAAGAACCTCCGCTCTCAACCCTCTTCCTAGCTAGCTCAAACGATCCTTTCTGAAGCTGCTGAACACGATACAGATCCGCGGCACTCAGGTACGCATCCTTAAGGGAGCTGGGCCTACTCACCGTCAACGCTTTTCGTGCCTCATAATTCAGACCGGCAATGAAACGCTCAACCTTAGCAAGCTCCGTAGGCACAAGCATCCTCGCGAAGCGCGCCAACTCTAAGAACTTCTTGTGGTATTCGACCACAGATAAGGATCCTTGCTGCAGATGGAGGAACTCATCAAACATGGCGGCTCGCACATGCGCTGGGTAGAACCTCTCGCGCATTCTGTCCTTGAGTGCGGTCCAATCAAACCCAGGCTCTTCATGAAAGGTCGGACCTTCGTGGACCCACCACAGATCAGCTTCTTGGCAGAAGTAGAACGTTGCCAGTTCTACTCTTCTCTCTTCAGGGAAACCCACAACGATGAAGATCTTATCAAACACCCGTAGCCACTCTTCCAAGACTACCGGATCTTCTTCTCCGGCGAAGGTTTGCGGCCGATGCCCTGACACCAAACGACCTACATCGCGATGCCCAGCAGGGGGAGGAGGCGGCACAGCTTGATTGTTGTTCAGCAAGGCTTCACTGAGCGTCTGCATCGTCTGCGTCAGCTGATGGAGATTCTGAGCGAGCTGCTCGTTGGTCGGGGTCTCCGGGGTGCGAGCGCGGGGACGAGGAGGCATCGCAAACTTCTACCACAATAACTAGGTTACAAAAAGAGAGCAAACAAGCAAGATAGAAAGCAACACACAGCTCACCGCGCAACCTAGAGTCCTAAGCCTAATCACTTAGCTTCTTAAGGTCGCATAGAGGTCTCATAACACACTTAACCACTTAGAAAGTCTAGACTGAACTCTTCCTAGGCTCTAAACCATGGCTCTGATACCAACTGTAACACCCCCCCCAAACAAGACCAATATAAAAGCCTTAACACATGCAGATTAAACAACAAAACTAGCACAACGGAAGATAAAAATGAAAACTGGATAAAAGAAATCCGAACGGGGTGTTACGCCACGTCTACCAAATACGGTAAACGCTACGGCAAACAATATGCAAGTGTATACATCTATCCCAAAAGCATCAGTCTAAAGCTACATGGGCACACATGCGACAAAACAAGGATGAGGGTACTAAGCTACCAGGCACTAGACATCGCGCTCGTCTAAACATCACCTGAAAGATACAAAGATAAACATTGGGACGACGCCCGGTCAGCGATAAATGCTGGTAACCCACCAATACATGTGAAATATCATACATAGATAGATATAAGGTGTAAAACCATTTTTGAAACGGATTATATATATATATATATATATATATATATATATATATATATATATATATATATATATATATATATATATAAGTCAAAACCAAGATCAACAGTCAACACAAGACTCATCACTCTGAAAGATAACACGGGAACACATTCCAAACCACAAAGGCTAACTATAACGCGAAGGATAAAGACTCACCCAATGGAAACACATGCCTCCGTGACTACACACGTCACAAGAGAAGAACACACAACGCCGGCTTTACAAGCCCTCGCAACATCACCCATCACGAGTTGGTATGCCTTCCTTATCGCCATGTTCCAACCTTATGGCTACCCCCAACCTTATATCTTCTTCCAACCATTACCTCCAGGACCCCTGTACTTCTTAGTCCAACCTTATTCCCCCGGGACCGTCGTCCCCCACCAACGACCACCAACGAGACCACCAATTCATAGTACACAAGGTACCGTACACGGCAACACATGCCCGGATAACACATGTTATCCCCCAATCACGTGAACCTTACACAAAGGCCACAACTCCATAATCACGTCACGGCCACCACGGGGACCGCTGCAATACCTTGGTGACTAGCGTCCCATACCACTAATCGTGCAATCCAGGTAAAGCCACACACGCACCACAACTCAACAAGAGTCAAAATACGGATCACAACAAAGGTATGAAACATACTCAATCAAGGAACGGGTCACAACCCAACAACAACAACGATGAATAACACAAGTTATCATCAACCAAACGGAAGGTACAAACGACACACGCTAGCATTAAGACAATAAACTAGCATGCTTAACAACGGAGAAACTCAAGATAGTTCCGAGGAACACACAAGACACCTCTTGGTCCAACGAAACACAATGTTGAACACTTAGCACGATTCAAGACACCAAAGTCCTACATGGATACCTACCATATAGTTCTAGACATACGAAAAATCAAGAAGGCACTCAAATAGTTCCGCAAAAGAACAACGGGAAGCCAAAAGACCAAATACCGAGTCAAACAGATCACGGGGAACAAATCCTAGACAACTCCACTCGTGTACCCGCGGGTGGACCCACGGGTAGTGCCCCACCCGTGGTTCCGCCCGCGGGAACACATTCCCACAGGGCATTGTACCCGCGGGTAGGCCGGCGGGTGGTGCCCCGCCCGCCGTTCCGCCCGCGGGAACATTCCTGTTCCACAACAAATCCCTTCGGGGATTTTCTTCTCCAAACACAAATTCAAGTCCAAAACATGCCAAATCTCACCCAACACAACAAAATGACTTGAATCATGGAAAATGCCAAGCAATGGCACAAAGGAACCCTAAACACAAGCTCTAGATATGCAATATCACAAGACAAATGCATAAACCCTCACATTTCATAGCAAAACACATGTAGAATCCAAGAAGTCACATATAGGTAAGCAAAATAGGTTTTGTAGAGCATGGGTTACCTCTTGAAGACCAAAAGACTTCACTTTACACCACAACAAGCTCTCCACAAGGCTTACTTTCCAAACCCACTTCAAGATCAAACCAAAAGATCATAAAGATCCTACATTTAAGAAAAAGACTACTAAGATGGAACCAAAAACACAAGATGAACTTAGATCTTACCCTCCTAGATGCCCAAATAGGTGAAAGGTTGAATCTTGGAATCTTGACAACGGTATCAACTTGGCTTGGAGAATAAGCTACACCTCTTTTCTAGAGAGAAGGTAGAGCTAATTTCTAGGAAATGTATGGAATGAAATGAAGAAGTCTTCTAGGTTAGGTTACAATACTAACTCTTGGTGAAAAGTCAAGAATACCCTTACTAACCCTTAGGAAGTGTAAGGAACAAGGGAACTCCCCTCAAAGCTCAAGGTACAACACATCTTTAAGGTTGACTAGTCAAATATTAGTCCTTGAGTATTAAAAATCAGGATTTTAGGAATTAATTCCTCATATAAAATAGGTTACTCAATTAATCCATGGATTGAATGCGGATTTTTG